TCGAATCGGTCAGCAACTCTAATTGCAAGATGATCATAACTGGGTCAGGTCATACGTTTGCAGCGTTCCGATGTCGTAGTCTAACTGCGATCTGCCAGTGCTCCATGAACTCCCCAAAAAATATTCCGAACTCGCTGTATTCAAATTCTTCGCTGTTGGTTTGCGGCCACCTTTCTACACTTTGCCTTGTCAATCGTCAAGTCAGGGTTTGGCCGCTCCGGAAGAGAAACTACCGATTTTGCACGGGATTGCACCGTTTGCTTTCTTCATGGGCTACCAGTTAGGGAATGAACACCAACTGCATGTACAATACCATCATTCAAGACACATCAGTAGTCCGCTTTCATCGGACACTACTACCCAACAAACGGAAATGAGACAACGAAATGACAAAAGTTGCCAAGGACATAAAAATTATACTTAGCATGCGTCTGTAATCTGCAGTCGGGTGGTGTGTATCTTTTCTCTTATTGTACTCTGTATTAAAGCTGTCTTCTCTCAGCGGGTATGTATCTCTTTGCTGCCTCAGTTCTTGTTTTTAGGTCTTTGCTTAGATGTGTCTGTTTACATATCTTTGCACTCTGCATGCGCTCAGGGGCCCCGAGCCGAGGCGCGCGCGGGCCGGAGCCTGCCGGGCCAGCTGAAGCGCCGCGGGGGCGGGGGCCGGGGCCGGGCTGGGGTCGGGATGGCGCAGCCGCGGCCCCCAGCGCCCCCCGGACGCCCGCGGAGGGGCTCATTGCCCGTTGGGGCCGGCTGGCAGGTGAGAATCCGGGGTGGGGGCGGCCTGGCCGAGGAGGTCCCGGGGACCGACTCAACTGGACTTTCTTGGAGCCCAGCAGATTCTGCCCGAGCCAGGACGGGTGTGCAAGGCTCGGTCGTGGAGGGTGTGTTAGCTCCTGGGCAGACACCCGGCCCCGGCGGCCCTGGGTGCACCCCTGCCCTGGGGTCCTGGCCTTGGGGCTCTCCTTACAGCTGCCCACGGAACACTGAGGCGCCAGGCACCAGTGGCACCGGCTGTGCCCTGCCGTGGGGACCGCCGTGCCCCTCGATGGGGTCTGAATGTTACAGAGTAACTTTGTAGGGTGCTCCCATCTGGGCCACATCACCCACAGCCCTCACCATGTGTCAGGGCGTCTGCTGCTCCCTAACTGTGGGTGTTCCTTTGCCTGTGTGTCGTCTCAGTGACGGTACCATGTGTCAGTGTTTGTGTGACTGTGATTCCCCGAGCAACAAGGAGGATTTCATTGTTCCTGGCTATGTTTGGTCAGCCTGCGCGGGGTGCCTCGGGGGCCATCATCAGGCCCCCACATCCGTGTGGTGCTGGGGCTCGGCGGGCCTGAGGCTGGCTGGCTGGCTCAGGAACATGTCAGTGTCAGTGTTGCTGTGATCCAGTGTGCTGGCTGACAGGTGTGTGTCTGTACCATCTGCTCCGGCTGCCTGTGGAATTGTCTTTTCCAAACACAGGGGTGATGAGTGTGGCCACAGGGCACGTGGGTCTCCCAGGGACTCCCATGGTGGATTTCAAGGGAGTCGTGCGTCTGTGGGCAGGCCTCAGAGCACGCATCCTGGGTGTCTGTGTGTCGTGATGTTCGCCAGGGCTCCGTCTGTGTATGTGATGAGGGAGGGGGGTGTGAGGTCAGGCCTGTGCCTCTGATCCTTGCAGATGATGAACCACTCGTGTGGTTGCTGGTTGCTTCTTCCTTTTCTCATTTCTCAGAAGTCTCTTGGCGTGGTGGGGTGGTCCCGCCATGCCTGTTGCACCGCATGCGGGACCCTCCTGGGCACGGGAGCTGGGGGTCGTGGCTGTGAGTGAGGCTCTGAGCTTCCCTCTGCACATCTGCCTGTACCTGGGAGCGCCTGACCTAACAGTGTGTGCTGCTGGTGCAGCTTCCTGTGTGGCATTGACGTTGTGTGTCTCATGGTGCGTGGACCTGTGTGAGTGTGTGTGAGTGGGTGTGCTATTGTGTAACTCGGATGCCAGCATCTGTGTTTGTGTGTTAACATGTAGCTCTGAGTCTCAGAATCAGTGTGCCTAGACCTCATGTGTGTGTGTGTGTGTGTGTGTGTGCATTGCTTTCTTGATACAAAAATGTGTGCATAGTTTAAGTATCAGTGTGCAGGCCTCTGTGTGTGTGTGTCTGCCAGCAGGAAGGAGAAAGAGCGTGTGTGTGTTTCCTGGTACACAACTCCACAGCTCAGGCAGTGCCCCCACTGGGCTGCAGGAACTGCCCGAGTTGAGCCGAGGAGATGCTGGGGGAGGGGCACCATCCTGGAGACTCTGGGGGCTTCTCCAGCCCAGCCCCCAGCCCCAGCCAGCAAGGATGCTGCCTTCCAGGAAGGCTGGTAGGGAGTTGGCCAGTGCTGCCAGCAGCTGGCAGACGCCAGATTAACCCCGTGTGTGCCCGCACTCGCCCAGGACTGGCTCCCTCGAGCCTGGTAGGGTGCCTGTGGGCTCGCATGCAGGTGTTGGGCTGATGCACATGCCAGCACCCCCTTCCCCAAGGAGCCCCCCAACCCAGCCCACACTACTGGGGGAGGGGGCTGCCTGAGCAGTGGCCTGTGGCGGGAGTTTACCACATCTGGTCTTCTTCCGGTAGATGGGTGGGACCCCAGACCCTCCTGTGGAGCTTGGCTGGGCTCGTCCCCGGGGCTCTCCTGAGCTCTGCGTTCTGAGCCTGGCCCTGTCAACCTTGCAGTGACGTGGGGACATCTGTCCCAGGGGAAAGGTCTGAGTGGGATGGGCTCTCCGGGGCCCGAGTTCTGAGCTCTGGTTTCCCCACACTTGGCAGTGGGTCAGGCTCTGCAGGTCCCCTGCCCAGAGCCCCCTCCCAGCAGGGCCCTGCGCTCCCTGTTGCTGCTTGGACATGCACCGCAGGGGTTGGGCAGAGTTGGGGGAGGGTGGGGACGGGGGCGGGGTGGAGGGGGGCTGATCAGGATCCTCCAGCCACCCTTAGGACTGACCTGGCTCTCCCCGTCTCTGTTGCAGAACACAGATCTGTTTGAAATGATTGAAAAGATGCAGGTGAGGAGGGCTCTCCAGCCCAGCCTGGGGGCTGCCGTGAGGGCCCTGGCTCTGACTCCAGCCCTCTACCTGCCGAGATCTGGTCAGGAGAAGATGGTAGCAGCTCAGGTCCATAGTCCTCTTTCTGGGAGTCAGGGGGAGGAGACTGGCAATGCCCAACCCCCATCCAGGTTCCCAGCGCCCATTGCTGGGCATGTCTCCTACCCACCCCTGCATACACCCTACCCTGTCCCACCAGGGGCAACACAGGCTCCACGGAGGGGATAAATGCCAGGGAAGCCTGGCAGCCAGAGCGCAGCCCTGCCCTGGTCCCTGACCCCTGCCTTGACCCAGTCTCACAGGTCTTTGACTGCTCTTCGCATGGGTGTGGTCAGGAGGTGGGCAGGGGGTGACTGGGGGTAGGGTGGCTCAGCCCGCACTGCCCTCTCTCTCCTGCCCCTCGTCTCTCCTCCTCCCCACGTATCTGTAGATGCAGTAGCCGCTCCCCCAACACCCACACAGGCGCATGCAGCTCCCCCGCCCCCACTCCCAGCGGCAGGGCACACATGTGCATTGCACTCCTGTGCTGAGCCCCCAGCCCACCCTGCTGCTGCAGCCTCCACCGTCCCAGGTCGCCACCAGGACAGCCACTGTGCAGGGAAATCGGGCAAAGGCACAGCCCTCGGAGCGAGGGCTTCCCGCGTTGGGCCGGGCACGCGGGGGTGACGGTGCTGCCTTCTCTCGCAGGGAAGCAGGATGGATGAACAGCGGTGCTCCTTCCCGCCACCCCTCAAAGTAGGTGGGCCAGGCCAGCTGCCTCCGAGGGCAGGGGGCTGGGGGCCGGGGGCCGGGTCGGGGCTGGAAATGCAGCCACAGCTACCATCACCGTGGAGGCCAGAATCCACTCACCTTTCCATGAAGTCTCCCTGGGTGCCAGGAGCTGGCTGGGGGCGGGGGGCAGGTGAACAGGGCACACCCAGCCCTGCCCTCCAGTTCTGTGATGTGCAGGACAGCCTTGCCGTGGGGCTGGGGGCCTTCCTCCTGGCCCCTCCCTCACCACACACCCTCTGCAGCTTGCCTCACCCCAGAGTGCAAGCCCTTGCCCTTCAGAATCCAGTGGCCGGCAAATGTCTCCCCTGAAGGCTGACACAGTAGCAGGGCAGGAAGAGTCACCCAGGACTGTGTGGCCCACGAGCTCCTGCTGCGTGATGCTCCTGGGACAGGGCGGGCAGCGGCCAGGGGGCCTGATAAAAGACCCTTGTTTGGGGCATTTTCCTTAGGGAGGGAGCTACCCAGTCCATGCAGATGGACATGTGGCTCTTGGTAGTGGGGGACCCCAGCAATCTGAAAAGACTGGCATCCAGATTGAGGGCAGCGGGCTCGGGGTTCAGGGAGGGTTCATGGGCCATAAGCCAGATGCTTTGTCCAAGACAGGGGCCCCCAAAGCTCCGTTCCCAGCCCAGCAGTAGCGGTGCCACCTCTTGGGCCCCGTCCACCCGGGTTGCCCCAGAAACTGCTGTGTCGAAGGCCCTGCAGGAGCCCAGGGGGTGAGACCCCATGCTCTCGGGATGCTGGGAGCACAGAGGGGAGGACCCCGCCCCAGCTGGACCCTGCCTTGCTTGTGTTTTGCAGACGGAGGAGGACTACATTCCCTACCCAAGCGTCCATGAGGTACCCGGCTGGAGCTGGCAGCCCTCAGCAGGGCATGGGGCACCCAGGTCCTCCCCCACCACAGGCCTTGCCTTGGGGGCTGGAGACTCAGTTTACAGGCCTGACTTCAGAGCCTGTTTGAATCCTTAGGCCTCTTGAGCCAGGGTCATGCTCCTAGCTCTAGCTGCCCCGGGCCCCCACCCTCAGATTGGGACCAGGGCTCAAGACTGGGTCAGTACTGGGGCAGGTACTGCCAGGGGGGTGGACGCAAGCCATGGAGGCCACAGAGACTCTGGGTTGTTCCCCAGGCCCCCTTGGCCATGACAGAAGTGGCCCTGGGTCTGAGTTGGGAGGGTGCCCTGGGGCTCCCATTGGGGCGCAGTATGGAGTGGCTCTCAGCCCAGTGCCCCCTCAGGTCCTGGGGCGAGAAGGGCCCTTCCCCCTCATCCTGCTGCCCCAGTTTGGGGGCTACTGGATTGAAGGCACCAACCACGAAATCACCAGCATCCCCGAGACCGAGCCGCTGCAGTCGCCCACGACCAAGGTCAAGCTCGAGTGCAACCCCACGGCCCGCATCTACCGGAAGCACTTTCTTGGCAAGGTGGGTGGGGCGTCTGCCGCAGGTCGGGGGAGGGGGGGCTGGCTGGGGTGGGAGGCTGGGACCCAGAGGGAGCAGAAGGCATGTGTGGGGGCTGGGTGACAGTCCCAGAGCCCTGGGTCTTGGGGAGCACGCATGGTGGATTCACCCATTCGGTCCACAACCACTGATTGCGAGCGGCAGTATGTGGCATGGCGAAACTTCCGAGTCCTGGCTGTGCCACCTGCCTGCAGCCAGGTGCTGAGCATCTCTGTGCCTTGATTTCCTCACCTGTGAAAGCGGGGATGGCCGTGACACCCACCTCCTGCGGCACTTGTCAGGTGTGTGGACACACACTTGTAAAGTGTGTGAACAAACTCCACCAGAGTTAGCACATAAGGAACACCAGCTGTATGCCCGCCCTCTTCTGTGTACCAGGTACACAGACCCAGCCCCTGCCCTCGGGCAGCTTGGGGTGGGGGCTGGGAGAGTGTCCCGGCTCCACTGGGCTGCAGGGACTCTGCCCAGGGAGTGTCAATTACTGGAGGAGGTGAGGGCTCGCGCTGGCCCTTGTGTGTTAGATTCCACAGTCAGGCGCTGTGTCTGAGCCAATTTGCAGCCAAAATGAAGGGAGTGTTTGTGGGCTCTGGGGGCTCACGGTCTCGGCCCTTCTGTTTCCTGATGGTGCGACCCTGGACAAGTGAATTATATAACCTTCTTGAGCCTCCTTCCTCGTCTGTAAAAACGGGGATAATAACAAGTACGCATGGATTTAAAGAAAATGTTTTCACCAAATTTATCTTTTATTTACTATTTTTAAAAAATGTTTATTTATTTATTTATTTGAAAGTCATAATTACATACGCAGAGAGAGCTATCTTCCATCCGCTGATTCACTCCCCAAATGGCTGCAACCGCCGGTGCTGGACCAGGCCAAAGCTGGGGACCAGGAACTTCAGCCGGGTCTCCTACTACTTAGGTGGCAGGGGCCCAAGTACCCAGGCCATCTTCTGCTGCTTTCCCAGCCCGTTACCAAGCACCTGGATCGGAAGTCGAGCAGCTGGGACTTGAACCGGCGCCCATATGGGATGCTGGCACTGCAAGTGGCACCCACCCACTATAGAGGCCTCAGCAGGGTCTTGCAGGCAGGGGGACCCAGGGCACCGTGGGGACCTCACACACAGCCTGCATGTGGGGGTTTTGCTGGAGGAGTGAGGCGCGAGAGATGGAGCTGGGAGCCTTGAACTCAGCAGTGTTTGAAGAGGTACAGGCCGGGGGTCGGAAGGCGCGTGGCGACAGAATGAGGTCAGCAGTGCAGGGGGGCCCCAGAGAAGCACAGCCATCTCCTGACTCTGGGAGGGGGCGGCTGGGGAAGCAGCCTGGAGCCGGGTCCCAGGTCCTGGGCTGCCAAGGGGGAGAGGGGGAGGGAATTTCGGGTGTTGACTCCCAGGAATTCTGAGCCCATTTTCCCACTGAGTCCCTTGGGCTTCCCTGGGCCTGGGTGGGGTGAGGGGGTCCACCAGGCCTTGCCAAGCCTGTCCTCCCTCCCTGCGGATGTCACCCTGGGCCGAGGCAGGGCTGCAGGCACTTTCCGTCCGAGGTCGGTCCAGGGTGCCCCTGAACTACAGCTTTACAGGACTCACACCCCCCCCCCCCCCAGCCCGCCTCTTTCCCCGCCCGGCCTCTGAGCACAGGTGTTCATGTTTAAACAGGACTGACTTCCAGGGTGATTCCTGGGGCGGGTGTGGCTGAGGAGCCAGCTCCACTCCCAGGCTGGGGCTGGCAGGGGCAGCCGGGCCTGGCTAGGATGGCAGCTCCCTGTATTCCTGTCCCTCGGCTTTGGGGCTTTCGCACCTGGAGTGGCGACACCGGGCTCCTGTCTGGGGGGTGCCGTCCCTGACACCGTTGCTCCTCGTGCCCTCTGGGTGTCTCCTCCCAACCCGGTGCCCACTTCTCCATGTGGTACAGAAGGTTGGGAACCTGCCCAGTGAGCCGCCCTGTGATGTGTCTCACTTCCTGTTTCTCACGGCCCTGGCTTCAGGGGCCACAGAGCCACACTGTGGGCTATCAGCTGTCGGCTTTTTCTTATTGAGCACCTACTGTGTGCCCAGCCTTGTGGGGAGCAGAGGCTGGGAAATGGGTATACAGGTGCGGATATGGCCCCAACTTGGGTGAGAAGCTGGAGAATTGTGGTTACGACGGACAGTCACGGAAGGCCAAGTGTAGGCCAAGTACTTTCAAGTCTCTTTCAGCCCCTGCCACCAGCAAGAGAGGTGGGCTCATGGCCACTTTAGAGACCAGGAAAACAAGGCACAGAGAGGTGCGGTGACCTCCTTAGCCTCTCAGCCGGTAAATGGCAGAGCAGGGATCTGAATGTAGGTCCCTCCAGTGGGACACAATCGTGTGACCTTGACTGTGACACCTGCTGCTTGGCAAAAGACCTGTCTGTGTGGGAGCTGGCTTTTGGGGAGCCCAGGCTCAGCTTCATCCACTCCTCTGCCCTCCTCCTCCCACCTTAGGAGCATTTCAATTACTACTCACTGGACACTGCCCTCGGCCACCTTGTCTTCTCGCTCAAGTATGATGTCATCGGGGACCAAGAGCACCTGCGGCTGCTGCTCAGGTAGGGCGGTGTGGGCGGGGGGGGGGGGTGCTCAGGACAGCAGAGAGGGCTGGCTGAGCTGGATCTCAGATTTTACCCACTCTCCCAGTGGAGGTTGGTGGCCGAGCCAGGCCTGGTGTCTCTCATGCTGCCTGGTCTCCCAGTGGTCAGTCCACAGTCCTGGGGTGGAGAGGCTGCCACCCCCTCTCCCACCGCCTGGCCCCTCACCGTGCGGTGCTCTCCTTCCAGGACCAAATGCCGGACCTACCACGACGTCATCCCCATCTCTTGCCTCACCGAGTTCCCCAACGTGGTCCAGATGGCAAAGGTGAGGCCTCCGCTCCCTGAGCTTCCGGTGCCAGAGCCCCCAGGTGGGTGCGGGGCTGGGTGCATGCGGCCTGGCACACCTCTGCCACAGCCCTTCTCTCTGGTGCCGCCTGTGGCACTGCCACTGTGTCTGTGTGCCTCCCTGGGCTCTCCGGGCTCCTGCCCTGGGTGCTGTTGGCACTCTTAGTTTTATTTACTTGTTTTCATTTCATTTTATTTGAAAGGAAGACAGAGACAGAGAAAGACATCTTCATCCACTGGTTCACTCCCCAAATGTCCACAATAGTCAGGGCTGAGCCCAGAATTCAATCAGGGGTCTTTCATATGGGTGGCAGGGACCCAAATACTTGATCCATCCTCTGCTACCTCCCGGGGTACACATTAACAGGAAGCTGGATCAGAAACACAGGAACTGGGACACAAACCAGGTGCCTCCTGGGGACGGAGGCCTCCCCAGTGGCATCCTAACTGCTGGGCCACAACGCTCATCCCTTCGGGCCCTATTTGTGGCACCCTCGGATGCCAGGGACTGCAGCTCTCTGCACCCCATTCTGAGCAGCAGGGAGCTCCAGTCTGGCTGCAGTCTGGGTTGTTCCCAGCACGGCCCCTCCCCAGTCTTGGCCAGTGAGTCCAGGAGGCCCCCACCCCTCCCCCCAGCCACCCTCATGCCCCTCCCTCGTCTCCTGCAGCTGGTGTGTGAAGACGTCAATGTGGACCGATTTTACCCTGTGCTCTACCCCAAGGTATGGCTGGAGCTGGATCCTGCTCCCAGAGGCGGGTGTGGGCAATTAGGGAACGGAGGGTTTACTGGGCACCTACTGTGTACCATGTACTTTTTCCAAGCTCTCTCATTGAATCCTTACAATACCCCTGCAAAGTCCACTGTTTGCAGGAGAGGGACCACAGAAAGGGCCCATGTTTTGCCCAAGGATGCACGGCGGGTAAGGAGGACCTGCAGTTAAAGTGAGGGCCGGGTCTGGAGACTGCTGGCTGCTTGGGGCTCTCCCGAGGGCAGCCTGTGCATGGGCAGGCTTTCTTGTCCTCTGGCTCTGCCTTCTGACGCTAGCTAGAGTGGGCCTGGAGCGCCAACAGCAGACACGCCCATCAACACAGCCCCCTCCCCACCGCCCCGACCACATGGCTGCATGCCAGCTCTCCTGGGAGGCCCTGGGTCCCAGGTGCTGTGACAGTGTGGGGCAGGGACAGGGGCTTCTGTCTGAGACGAGCCAGGGGTTTGCTTGAAAGCCACGGAAGCCCTGTGGCCCTGCTGAATTCACAGAGTGAGGTCTGCAAGGGCTGGCACTGTCTAGGAAAAGTACCCTGAAGGAGTCAGGTCCCACCTGTGGGTTCCAGAAAGGGAAGAGGCCCGCGGTGAGGGGGAGAACTTGCTCAAGGTCCCGCAGCACATTGGCGGGACCTGGCTGTTCTAGAAAGGTGCCGTGGGTTCGCGGAGTGCATCGGGGGCAGGATGGGGGCTCGGGGTGAAATTCCCAGGCCAGGAGCCTGGGCTCTGGACCCCGGCAGGCCTGGATTCACGTCCCAGCTAGACCACAGCCACACTGCTTGAGTTCTCTGAAACCACGGTGCAGCGTGGGACAGCCCGAGTGTCGCCAGGGGCCTCTTTGGGGATCACACAGGGTATGCATGCAGAGCGCTTGGCCAGTGGGTGGCAGCCTGGCCAACGCAGTCGCCTCCCCCTGTGCTCGCCCGCAGGCTTCCCGCCTCATCGTCACCTTTGATGAGCATGTCATCAGCAATAACTTCAAGTTTGGAGTCATTTATCAGAAGCTTGGGCAGGTGCGCTCTCCTCCTCCTCCCTGCCCCCTGCCCTATCCCGCTCTGTAGCTGGGGCCTCAGACCTCTGCAGGGCAGAGCACCTGTCAAGGGGGCTCGGCTGCCCAGGAGCTCCGCGCCCCTCTGGGTGGGGGTGGGGGTGGGGACGGGCTGCTCAGGAGCTCCAGCTTGGTGACCTTGGCGCCTCTGTGTGGTCCCCAGACCTCCGAGGAAGAACTCTTCAGCACCAATGAGGAGAGCCCCGCCTTCGTGGAGTTCCTGGAATTTCTTGGCCAGAAGGTCAAACTGCAGGACTTCAAGGGGTGAGCTCGAGGGTGGGCTAAGCGGAGCCATCTGATCCGTGCCCCTGGGCAGGGAGGGAGTCCCCCATCCTGGCCCCACGGAGGCCTGGCCGGGGATGGAGACTGAGCCATGGCCTGGGGGGCCTGGGGGCAGGTTCCGAGGAGGCCTGGACGTGACCCACGGGCAGACGGGAACCGAGTCTGTGTACTGCAACTTCCGCAACAAGGAGATCATGTTTCACGTGTCCACCAAGCTGCCCTACACAGAAGGGGACGCCCAGCAGGTAGCCTGGGCACTCACCCACCTGCTTCCACCCGTCCGCCTATCCCCCCATCTACCTGTCTGCTCAGCGTCCATCACGCCCGGCTCAGTGCTGGGCCCCGGTACAGACACAGATGGGATCCAGTGCTGCCAAAAGCGGGTCCTAGCTGGGGAGCCGGGCTGCCGCGATGCTGCGACGCTCGGCTTCCACTTGTGAGACGTGGGGATGGTTCCTGCCCCTCGGCGAGCACGGAGGAGGATGCGGAGCGAGGCCTCAGTAGATGAGAGCCAGTCGTTTCCTGGGGAGCCGCGGCCATTATGGGGTCACTGGGGGCACTTGGGCTCGGTAGCGGTGGGGAACAGGAACGGCTTCCTCGACAGAGCGACCTGTGGGCCGCAGAGGAGCAGGAGGGATGTTCTCGGCCTGCGAAGGCCTGCAGTCGAGGAGGGTGAGGGCACGTTGTGGGAACCGCACTCAGAAGCTCGGCAGCTTCTCCTGAGCTTCCCGTGGGGCTGCCGCCTCGCCCCAGGCCCCAGCCCAGGCTGACCGAAGCGGTAATGGGACAAAGGTGGAAGAAGTTTCTTATTTTTAGGAGCTGTGTTTTAATAAGCGCCTCTGTGTGTGTGTCCGCATCGTGAGTGCACACTGAGCACAACTTGTTTGTTGAGGGCGTTTACATAGGAGAGGCTGGGGAGGCCCCCACCTGAAAGCCACTCTCCCCTGGCCAAGGAAACTAAAGTAACTCGCTGGCTCGTTCACCGCGGGCGCCCAGCCGCGCCCTGCCTGCTTCGAGCCTCCCCGGAGCCCCAAGGGCGCCCCCCCGCCGCGGGGGTCCCTCCGGCCAGGCTGTGAAGGCCTGTGGCCTGTGCTCAGTTGCAGCGCAAGCGGCACATTGGGAACGACATCGTGGCCGTGGTCTTCCAGGACGAGAACACGCCCTTCGTGCCCGACATGATCGCGTCCAACTTCCTGCATGCCTACGTGGTGGTGCAGGCCGAGGGCGGCGGCCCCGATGGCCCCCTCTACAAGGTGGGTGACCCTGGGGCCCCAGCCCCGGCTCCGCCCCACTGGGGTGCCTCTCTCTGGCTCACGGTTTCTAACTGGGGACCGTGGAGGGTAGTGGTGGTGGAGGATTCCCGTCATGCCTCTCTGCTCCCCAGAGTGCGGCCCCTCAAAGACACCAGCCACCCTCCTCCTGCTGGTGTGCTAGCTCCTCCTCCTACTTTCTTTCTTTCTTTCTTTCTTTCTTTCTTTCTTTCTTTCTTTCTTTCTTTCTTTCTTTCTTTCTTTTTTAAGATTTATTAATGTATTTGAGGTAAAGAGAGAGAGAGAGAGAGAGAGAGAGAGAGAGAGAGAGAGAGAGAGAGAGAGAGGTCTTCCATCTGCTGTTTCACTTCCCAGATGGCTGCAACAGCCAGAGCTGCACCCATCCAAAGCCAGGAGCTTCTTCCAGGTCTCCCACATGGGTGCAGGGACCCAAGGGTTTGGACCATCTTCCACTGCTTTCCCAGGCCATAGCAGATAGCTGGATCGGAAGTGGAGCAGCTGGGTCTCAAACTGGTGCCCATATGGGATGCTGGCACTGCAGGCGGCAGCTTTACCTGCTACATCATGGCACTGACCCCCTTTCTTTCTTTATTTCTAAGATTTATTAATAACCCAGTGGTTCACTCCTCAAATGGCTGCAACAGCCAGAGCTGGGCCAGGCCAAAGCCAGGAGCTGGGGACTCCATCTGGGTCTCCCACGTGGGTGCAGGGGCCCAAGTACCTGGGCCATGCTCCGCTGCTTTCCCAGGGGCATCAGAGGGAGCTAGATCAGAAGTGGAACAGCTGGGACTAGAATCAGCGCTCAGTGTGGCCAAAGCCAGGCCCCCTGTGCCTCCGTAGCCTCCTCTGCCTTCACTGTACCCCACGACCCCTGAGCTCTCCCATCCCCCACCCAGCCTGTCACTCAGGTTCTGGGCGGGGATGGAGGATAGAGCCCCTGGCGCAAAGGCCGCCTCCAGGCAGCAGTCACCCGTGGGGCAGGGCAGGAGGGGACAGGGCCTCTGGCCACCGTGCGGCAGAACAGGCCCCGGCTCCCACAGGGACAGCTGCCTCCCTTCCAGGTCTCTGTCACCGCAAGAGACGACGTGCCCTTCTTCGGACCCCCTCTCCCAGACCCCGCCGTGTTTCGGAAGGTGAGAGGCTGCCCCAGACCCTGTCTGGGTCCGAGGGCCACAGGTTCTGCCTGGCCGGGTCCTGAATCCCGCAGGGGCTGGGCCAGCAGGGCCCCGCTCACCACGTTGCTGGGGCCTGGCTTTTCGTCATAAAAACCTCACAGAAGGAACTGCATTGCATTGCTGTTTTCCATTTTCTGTAGCAGGCTCTGCGGCCTCTCCCCGTTCTCACTTTTCCGCCACTGGGGGGGCTTCTTTCCTCTTCAGTGTGGGGGTGGTGGGGCTCCCGGCTGTCCCCTGGGAGGGGGGCATGTCTCCGAGGGGTGGGCATGAAGGGCACAGGGGCCCCAGACACTGCCTGGGCTGAGGAGTGAAGCGGAGGACCCCAGCCCCCCACTTAGCCAGCTCCCTCCCTCCCCCCTTGTCCTCCACACTGGGGGCTCCCAGGGCCCTGAGTTCCAGGAATTTCTGCTGACAAAGCTGATCAATGCGGAGTATGCCTGCTACAAGGCAGAGAAGTTTGCCAAACTGGAGGTGAGGCCGGGCTGTTGGGGCTGAGCCACCCCCTCCCCCACCGCCCAGCCCTGCTCCTGGGGAGGGGAATGTGGGCCCCCTGGGGAGGGGGCATTCAGGAGGGCAGTGCGCCAGGGGTGGGGGTAGGGGAGTGGGAGGGGGTCAGTGGACCGTCTGGCGGGTCGGGGTATGAATCCACATCACAGTGGGGCCCTCGGGAAGCCCAGGGAGGGTCTGGTCCCTCCCCAGCTCCTTCAGTTGTGGGGCGGGGCTGATCACGAGGGCCCCTCCTTTTCACCCCGCCCTGGCCCCCAGGAGCGGACCCGGGCCGCCCTCCTGGAGACGCTCTATGAGGAACTGCACCTCCACAGCCAGTCCATGATGGGCCTGGGCGGCGACGAGGACAAGATGGAGAATGGCGGCGGCGGCGGCGGCTTCTTTGAGTCTTTCAAGGTGAAGGGCCCGGGGCTGGGCCACAGCGGGGCTCAGGTGGAATACGGGCTCACGGCCTTGGAGGTGCAGCCATGGCTAGAGGCGAGCTCCATCCGGGGTCGGGAGGGGGGACCGGGGCGTGGCTGGGGTGGAGTCTGGGGGCTGGGGTGGAGTCTGGGGCAGGGCTGAGCGGGGGGGGGGGGGGGGGGGGGTGGAGTCTGGGGTGGGGCGGGGTTGGGGTGGGGTCTGGGGCGTGGCTGGGGTGGAGTCTGGGGTGGGGCGGGGTTGGGGTGGAGTCTGGGGGCTGGGGTGGAGTCTGGGGCGGGGCTGAGCGGGGGGTGGAGTCTGGGGCGGGGTGGGGCGGGGCTGGGGTAGAGTCTAGGGCGGGGCGTGAACGGGGCCCTAGTTGTCTGGGGCAGGCCTAATGGACAAGGCATAGTGTGGCTACAGGCTGGCTCGCGTTGGAGGTGGAGTCGGGAGTGGGGTGGTGACTGGATGCACCTAGGCTCTGGATGAGCTTACGTTTGGGGATGGGACTGTGCCTTGGGTAGTTTGGGGCTGGGAGTACTGGGAGGTGGGGCCCTGCTTGGGGAGCGGCAAGGGTCTAGTCTTGAGCCCACCTGGGAATTCTGCTGCCTGGGTGGCAGCTTCCAGGCCAGCAGGCAGAGAGAGGAGGAGGCTTCTGTCCTGACAGCGGGCAAGGAAGAAAGGCCCCCCAAAGTGGTGTGGGAACTGACCGGCCTTCAGACAGGGCCCCGGCCTGTGTGGTCTACCCTGGGTGCCCCTGGTTGAGCTTAGTGCTAAGAGCCCGGACTCCCTGGGTTCCAGTCTCAGCTCTGCCACCCGGCAGCTTGGGCATTCTGTGTGTTCGCTCATCTGTTGAGCAGGGTAATGGTGACTTACCTTGTATGTTTGACTTGTAAAGCAAATAGGTTAGTGCCATGCAAGTCAAAAAGCAAATCCTGCCCCGCCCTGGGCCCAGCAGCTGTCGTCCAAAGAGGCAAAGGAGGAGGGAGGTCCCCCTTGTCCAGGGCCTGAACTCCCCCAGGCTGCAGGGCCCCAGGCGGTGGCCTCTTTGCCCCCACAGGAGCAGAACAGCCCCTCCCCCAGGTGCCCAGCCCGGCAGGGTTGGCCTCGTCCTCACCCCAGGGCGGGCCACCAAGCTGGAGCTCTGGGTTTGCATAAGGGGATTAGCTGTCCAGCTGTCCAGGCCTGCCCTGGACCTCTGAGAGAAGCGTGCAGAGCGCCCTGCCTCTGCCCCCAGGAGACAGAGGGGTGGGGTGAGCCCAGGTCTGGGGTCGTCTGTGAGGAGGGCTCCAGGGGCCCGCAGCTCTTGCCACTGAACGTGGGCCCTGGGTTAGGAGTTAGCAGGATCCACAGTCTCGGGCGTGGATTTGGCGTCCTGGGCTCACCTCTGCCTCGGTTTCATCACATGTAAGATGGGCGTGATAACAGATAACCCCACCGTAGGCAGATTAAGTGACAGAGCGAAAAGTACTCCTGTGTAGACGAGGAAGAGAGAGAGAGGGAGGGAGGGAGGGAGGGAGGGACGCCAGCGCCGAGAGGTCCTAGAAGGAAACACAGGTTTCCCGTCGTGCCCCAGTGTCTCCTGCGGCCCTTCCCACAGTCACACGAAGGCTCAGCAGCCTGTGTGGCTCAGCCAGGGCCACCCAGCAAGGGGGTGGCAGAGCCAAGGCTCAGAGCACCCACAGGGACCACGTGTGCCTGCCTTTCACGTGGCATGTGGGGAGACCGAGTCCCCGGATGGGGCGGGGAGCTCCTGGCCTCCCCCAGAGTGGCCCTGGTGCCCAGAGACCTGATGCCCGGGCCCCTGGCTTTCCCTGAGGGGGAGGGGCCTTCTGCAACCCATGCTGCCCCGCCCCCTGCCTTCACAGCGCGTCATCCGGAGCCGCAGCCAGTCCATGGACGCCATGGGGCTGAGCAACAAGAAGCCCAACACGGTGTCCACCAGCCACAGCGGGAGCTTCACGCCCAACAACCCCGACCTGGCCAAGGCTGCTGGAATAGTGAGTACCCCCTCCTCTGCCTTTCCCCGGGGCCCTCAACTCTCCCCCGTCTCCTAGGGCCTGGCCCACCTTCCGCCCATGGCCCTGCCGTCCCCGAGCCCAACCCGGGCTGTAGTCTCCCTGAAGCCCCTGCTTGCCATGGGCACGTGCCCAGGCCAGGAGGCTGGGGTGCTAAGAGCTGCAGCCTCCTCCCTGCTCCGTGCCCCCCCCCCCGCCCCCGGCCCCTTACTTTTTGGGTGTGGCTTCCTGCAGCTCTCAGGCAGCCTCTGTGTCACGTCCGTCGTGTGCTGGGACCTGGGCTGCTATGTGGGCACCTGCTGTCAGACCTTGGGTTTTTGGGAGCTATGTGGATATGCACCCTGTGAGCACCTACTGTGGGCCTAGCCCAAGTTCCTGTCAGCACCTACTGTGTGTCAGGGCCTGGACTGCTGTGTGGGCACCTGCTGTCAAACTTTGGGTTTCTTGGAGCTATGTGGATATGTACTCTGTAAGCACCTGCTGTGAGAACCTGCTGTGTGTCAGGAAATGGACTTCTGTGTGAACACGTAATGTGTGCTAATGTCAGTGGATACCTACCATGTGTCAGGAAGTGAGCTGTCGCGTGGGCATCTCCTCTGTGAGCACCTCTGACTATGTCTGCAGCAGCCAGGGCCTCTGTGGTTGTAGCTGCCTTTGGTGTCAGGAACCAGGCTTCCGACAGGGCCGCCCCGAGTGACTTCTGTCTGCCAGTCTCTGTGGGATTCTGCTGCTAGCACTTGGGCGTGCTGGGCATACGGGAGGAAGGCCTGCAACCAAGGGCCTGGCTGCTTGCTGCCGCCTAGTGGCCACTCTTGGACACTGCACCCACTGCTCTGCTCTCCCCATCCACCCACAACCTCATTCATCCACCCCCTCATCCATCCATTCACCCACCCACCCATTCATCCACCTAGCCATCCACCCATCTACCCACCCACCCATCCATCCACCCACCCACCCATCCACCCATCTATTCACCCACACACCCATCCATCAAACCACCCATCTACTCAGCCATCTTTCGTCCATCCATCCACCCATTTACCCACTCACCCATCCACCCACCCACCCACTCATTCATCCATCCACTCCCTATCCCCCTCATTCTTCTGTTCACCTGCCCACTCACCATTTATTGACTGTCTGCTGCATGCCAAGCCCTGCGCTCTGTGCTGTGAAGCTGTGTCATGTGGCAGGAGGGAGCCCCCCACCCCTGCCCATGGTCTGGCCTGGCCAGGGGAGCAAGGCAGGGTCTCTGCTGTCCGGCAGTCACCGTGCCCACTGTCATGGGAGGAGGAGGCCCAACTTCCCCCGACTGAGATTTGCCAGACACTCCCTTCCTGCCCACTGGAGAGGCCCAGGCTCCTGTGGGTGGCCGCAGAGGGACCCCGGGGACAGGGCCAGGCCAGCAGCACCCACCATGGCAGTAACCAGACCCATTTCTGTTTTTGTTTTTGCACAACTCTCCCTCTCCATATTGCCCCTTTTTTCTGCTGCTCTCCTCTCTTCCTGCCCGCCCCCCGCCACCCGCTCTCTTCCCTCCCATCCTCGGCCCCTCTGTGGCCCCCTTGTGGCCCCTCTGCCTCCCTACCCCGTTCCTTCTCCCTCCCACACCTGTCTTCGCTGTCCTCCTCCCTCTGACTCCTGCATTCTTGCCTTGTCCCCCTTTCTTTGTGTCCCTGACCCCGACCCTCACTGCCTGCCCCGCTCCGTGTCCCCTGTCTTGCGTGCCATCTCTGGCTCGCTGGCTCGCACGGGCCCTCTTTCTGCCTACCACTCCGTCTTGGGGCCATCTCTCCCCACTCCTCCCTCCTTCCCGGCTCCGTGTGTGTCTCTCTCTCCTGCCCCCCTCTCTCCTTTGTTTCTGTATCTCTCTCCCTCCTTTCCCTTCTGCCTCTCTGCCCCACCCTTGCTGCTTGCCAGTCATTGCTTATTCCCGGGAAAAGCGCGAGTAGATTCGGACGCCGGGGCAGTGCCATAGGCATAGGAACCGTGGAAGAGGTTGTCGTCCGCGGGCCGCCGGCTCTGGAGGCTGCCTGCACGCGCTGCTCTCTGCTCGCTCTCAGGACGGAGGCCATATCGGGGATGATGCCCCTCCCCCACGACAGCCGTGCAGGATGGGTGGGGCTGGGAGGGGGCTGGCTGCCCTGAGAGCACCCAGCACCTGCTTCGGGGTCGGGTACCCTCTCTGGGACCCTGGCCCAGTCCCGGCCAGGATCTGGTACCCAAAGACCCTGTGCCTAGCTGCACGTCCCTGGTCTCGGCCGGCTCTGCATGGGGCACCACCTTCCCCTCCACTCTGACTCCTCCTCCCCACCATGGACCAGCCAGGGGTCCTACCCCTCCGAGCCTCCTTGGGGCCCACCGTCCAGCCTCCCCCGAGAGCTGGAGCCCACTCCCAGGACCTGGGGCATCTACCATGAGTGTGCTTGGAGGCAGCCATGGGGGTTTTGCATGGTGGTTTTCCCCAGCCCGATGGAAGGTTCCAGAGGAGCAGGGCTGGCGGGAGCAGCCCCTTCGGCTGCTGTGCTGGCTCTCACCTCCCGTCTCCCAAGACTGCGGCTCCCAGGAGGCCCGGGATGGGCGGGAAGCCATGCTGAGGACTTGGCCGCCTCCCCTCCCATCCCAGAGTGGCTGCCCAGCCTCCTCGGCCCCGGCCCCTTTCCTGGCCTAAGGTCCTGGGTGTGACCCTGTTGTGTGACGTCAGGAGAGGCCCTGGCCCTCGCTGGGCCTGCCTTCCCGTCTAGGAACCAGGAGGGCTGTCCCAGAAGTGCACGTTTTCCCTCCTTTCTTGCCCACGGCCTCTGCTTCAGGGCTGAGCAGGGTCCCCGGGGGCTGGGGGAGGGGCGGGGCGTGGGGGGCACCCGGGCTCCCAGGGCAGGTGGGCACTGAGTCGGGACCTCTCCTGCAGTCGCTGATTGTCCCTGGGAAGAGCCCCACAAGGAAGAAGTCGGGCCCGTTCGGCTCGCGCCGCAGCAGCGCCATCGGCATTGAGAACATTCAGGAAGTGCAGGAGAAGAGGTGGGTGGTAGTGGGGGGGGGGGGGGGGAGGGCGGGGCCTTCCCGGACCCCGACTCAGCAGCCCAGCCGAGCGGCCACAGCCAGCAGCGTGCACCTGCCCCTGTGCCATGCTGTCCCCCTCCAGTGACAGCTGCGCTGTGGGGTCCCTGCTGTGTGCGTGGTGGGGCGGGGTGCGGGGCCAGTGCCTCGCCTGACGTGAGACGCTTTCGTCCACTCAGCAGCTCTGGCCTCGGGGGCCTGCACCTTGCGCATGAAGAAGCTGTAGGCCCGAGGGGCAGAGGTGGGACTTGAGCCCCGGTCAGTCTGCCGGTACCCATCCCCTGTGTGTGGGAGCAGCCAGTGCTGGCTCCCGGGCGAGCCATGGGGGGCCGGGGTCTGTGAGTGCCTGTGCACTCACAGGTAGCAGATGCTGGCTCCAGCATGCGGGGGCTGTGTGCCCTTGGCCAAATCACTGTACTTCTCTGAACCTCACTGGCCCGATCTCAAAAACAGGGACAAGAACAGCACCAGCGGCGGGGGGCTGCTGTGAGGGGTGCAGGGGTCAGGGGCGCCAAGGACGCGCCGAGGGCGGCTCCAGCCCTGGCCTCACTGCCTCTGCACTCAGAAGGCTGTGAAGCCCGGGTTCGAGTCTTAGCGTTGCCGCGTCCTAGCTGGGTGTCCCTGGGCTGCTTCCCTCCCATCTCTGAAGCCCGGGTCCTTCGTCACAAGACCGTCACACCCCCTTCTGGTGGAGCTGAGGACTTGGGGATGCGGCCCCACCTGTGCTGCCCCCGTGCTTGGCCCCCCGGGGCGGCTCTGGGGCTGGCTGCTGAGAACACAAGATGTGGGCCCAAGGCAGGAGGTGCCCGTGCCCTCTCTCACCTCCGGGGCCTCATTCCACCCCCAGTGCCAGGCCCAGGGCTGAATCCCCTCGCTGCCCCCTGTGCCCTGCAGGGAGAGCCCCCCGGCTGGCCAGAAGACCCCAGACAGCGGGCACGTCTCCCAGGAGCCCAAGTCAGAGAACTCGTCCACACAGAGCTCCCCAGAGATGCCCACAACCAAGAACAGGTTGGCGACTGGGGCATCCGAGTCCAGGCCTTGGGAGCCAGGCGGGGCTGGGGCTGGGGAGGAGGGCGTCCCTCACCCTTTCCGTCCGCCGCCTGGCCCACCGCTTCCCAGGAGCCCGTGGCACACAGCCGCTGGGCGCTCTGAGCCTGCCAGGCCCCCGGCCAAGCTCTGGGCCACACAGGGAATGGAGCACGTGGGCCGGCTCGCAGGCAGAAGATAAGCCCCTAAGCCGGGGCCAGATGGTGGTGAGGGGAGGGGAGGGGAGCAGAGTGGGGTGACGGACGGCTTGGGGGTGGGGTGGGAGGGGTCCTCGGGGAGACAGCACCCAGGCCTTGAGGGTTCAGTGAGACTCAGCCCCACCAGGCCTGGCCTGGCAGAGAGTGTGGGCTTGGCAGGTGCCAAGGCTCTGAGGCGAGCTTGGGGGTGGAAGGAAGGGCCGGGCCTGGGTGGGCGTCGGGCTGGGAGGTGACGGGAACGAGGCTGGATGGATGAGCTTTGAACTTGATCCTGCGCGTGGCAGGGAGCTTTCGGGCGATTTCAGCTAAGCATGATGGTGCTCTATGGAGAAGGGGCTGGGGTGAGGTAGGAGCGGAGGCAGGGCGGCCAGCCGGGAAGCTGCTCCTCCCGCAGTGGGTGGAGGCCGGGCGCCCTCTGTGCCGGGCTGGCCAGGGGCTGACAGGTCAGGCAGGCCAGCACCAGCAGGAAGGGTGACAGGGACTGGCAAAGGCAAGGCCTGCAGGACCCAGGGCGGGCAGGGGGAGTCAGGGAGGGCCTCCTGGAGCCCTTGGCTGACTTTTGAAAAGACGGTTGCTTGGGGGATTTGAGAGAGGGTTTGAGACTCCAGGCAGGAGACAGCAAAGCTCTGAGCGTAAAATAAAATTGTGAGGCAGGTAAGAGAGCAGGCTGCGGACTCCCCTGGACCCCACCTCCAGCCGAGGGGGCTTGGGCCGCGTGCCCCCTCCCTGTGGGCCTCAGGGACCCCTTGTCTGTAGGATGGGTCCAACACACAGGCGAAAGCACTTAGAACATTGGCCTGGGTGACATCAGCGTCACCGGACTCCCAGCCAAGGGGACTGGGCTTTACCCGGGCAGGGGGAGCCACGGGAGGGCTCCGAGCAGAAGAATCCGGTTAGGACTGGTGGGGGTGGGTCAGGCTGCAGGGGTAGGCCCTGGGAACTGTAAGGGGCATGGGGACAGTGAGGGGTGGGGGCTGGGCCACGGGCTGACGGCGCTGTGTGTGGCAGAGCGGAGACCACGGCGCAGAGGGCAGAGGTGCTGAAGGACTTCTCCCGCTCCTCGTCCAGTGCCAGCAGCTTTGCCAGTGTGGTGGAGGAGACGGAGGCCGTGGACGGGGACGACACGGGCCTGGTGAGCAGCCCGGGCAGGCGGGCAGTTGGGCGGGCGCTCCCCAGTCGGGGGCGCTCTTCTATCTGAAGGTGCTCTGGGTAGAAGCCCGAGTCTGGGTGTGGCTGAGGTGGGATCAGGGCCCCAGGCCAGAGGAGCAATGCAGTAACCCTGCCCTGCCCTCAAGCCTTCCATGGCTCCCGGTGCCCTCCAGTCTCTGAGACTGTGGGAGGAGTGGCACCCCCTGCTCCCCACTTCAGACACTGTCTACCCCTTTGCACGCACGGTCTCTTCTGTCCGGAACACTCCTCTGCCGCCGCCTCCCACCTCCCCCCGGATAGCTCCTACTCATCCTGCTTGACAGAATCTCCCACTCCCACACCTCCTCCAGAGAGCCTTCCTTGATTTCTTGGGACAGTTTAGGAGCTTCCCTCCCCCTTTCCGCTCTCACAGAAAGCCCGTTTTCGGTTGAAGCAGGGGCGGTGGCGGGGGTCGGGGAGGAATGTGCCCTACCGCTGGGGCCTGCATTCTCGAATTGTACCAGATCTTGGCCAGAAGACCCGGAAGCAGTTGGTTGAGGGCTGTCACCGGCTTTTCGCGGCCTGCCTGGCCTCCCTGAGGGCAGGGACCACACCTGATGTCCGAGCGGCTGGCCTAGGAGGACATCATTGAACTCTCAACAGTGGGTGGCAGTGGCCGCCCAGGCTGTGCCTGCCCCCACTCTACCTCCTGAGGCCACCCCGGGGCAGGCACTGCTGGGCCCATCCTTGCAGGGGCTGGGGTGGAGGTGTGGGGTGCAGCGAGGGAGGGGGCCTGCAGGGGCTCACCTCCCCCGTGCCCCCCGCCCCCAGGAGAGCGTCTCGTCCTCGGGGACACCGCACAAGCGGGACTCATTCATCTACAGCACGTGGCTGGAAGACAGCGCCAGCACCGCCAGTGGGGGCAGCTCCCCAGGTACCACCCAGAGGGGCCGCTCTGGGAGTGGGGGTGGGGGCTGGGCGGCCACAGAGGGTGGGGCTGGGCCGCGGCTGTCCCCGGCCCGGCAGGCCCCACGTGGCTGGGTGCCCTGCCCAGGTCAACTGGCAGGTGGCAGGGCCGGTGGCTTCTGGAAGCAGGGAGGCAAGAACTGGAGGGGTCCCCGTGAGAGGGACTTGGCAGGGCTGGGAAGCACCAGTGCCAACCGCCCACCCACCCATGCCCCCGTCTCCCTGGTGCCTCCCCGCGGCCAGTGAGGTGGCTCCCTCCTGCCCCCCTCCCCAGGCCCCTCGCGGTCACCCCACCCAGACGCCGGCAAGCCGGGGGACCCTGCCTGTCCTGAGATTAAGATCCAGCTGGAAGTGTCTGAGCCGCACACGCCCCAGCTGGTACGTGCCGGGCACGGGGGACGCGGGCACCCAGAGTTGGGGCCAGGAGGGGTGGACTTGTCCAGCCTGGGCACAGCCAGTGACTGCTGCCTCCCTGTGTCTCCTGCCCCACATCTCCACCTGTCCTGCCACCTGCCTCCCGGCCTGTCTGTCCGAAGGGCTGTTAGCCAGGCCAGCCCCTGCAGGTGAGACTGAGAGGGTCAGCCCCTCCCCCATCACTGGCTGGGGAAGGGCGGGACTGGGGGAGGCTGGGCGGCTCCTGCTCCTTCCTGTCGCTTGTCTGGGGTGAGCCACGTGTCTGTCGGGGACTCAGGCAAATGCTGGGCCCTCTCCGGGCCTCAGTTTCTTTGTCTGTGCGATGGGGCCATCTGTCCAGAGGACAGGATTGGGAACCCGGAGAGACGCTTGGTGACCACCTGGTGGAGAGGAGTCTGCGGTTCCCGTGGAACGGGAGGACCCGGAGCCTGTGTCTCCGCGCGTGGGCCCCTCCCAGGCCGCCGTCCCCTGCTCCTTGGGCCCTCCACCTCCCTGTGTCCTGCAGATGAGGCCGCAGAAACACAAGCTGAAGAGGCTGTGTCAAGTTGAGACAGATGGGACCTCTGCGCCCACGGCCCCCCGCCTTCCCCTGGGCCCACCCATCTGGGCTGTCTCTGCAGGGCAGAGCCATCCAGACCTGGGAGCAGAGAGGCTGCGGGCGTCATCCCCACCCCCCAGGCTGGGGGTCTGGGCTGGGGCAAGGCCTGCTCACCCCTCCCAAGGGCCTCCATCAGCCCCGGGTGCCTCTGTACTCAGGGGAGCGAGGTGGGAGAGGGTGCCCCTACCTCGGAGGCAGCAGGATGTGGGGTGGGCTGGGAGTCTCGAGCCCTGGCTTCTGACTTGGGTTCTGCTGTGTGACTCTGGACGAGTTGCTCTCCCTCTCTGGGCATCTCTGCTGCAAATGGACAAGATTCTTTCAGAGGTCCCTGAAAACTGTGATTCCGCGCACCTGCCCCAGGAGAGGGCTCGTCCTCCCTGGGGCTGCCCGTCACGCTGCCCGCTGCTTCTCCAGGTCCCGGGCCCCCGGTGGGCTGAGGGGACAGGGAGCTTGTCACGCCCCTTGCCCCTCCTGGACCCCCAAGCTCTGCCACAGATCTGCCGACACCCACACCCTGTCCACTGCCTACAGGTGACAGATGAGTGACCCCTCATGGCAGAGGGGTCCCTGGCTCCTCGGCCAGCACCCAGCTTAACCCCTGCCATCCCGCACTCCCGGGCAGTCTGGCCCGAGGGCCCACAGGCCTTGGCTGTCCTCACCACCATGAGTCCCTGTCCTTGTGTGTGTCTGTCCACACTTTTTAGGCGCCAAAGGCCAGGCCTCTGGCCCCACCACCCGTTTTGGAAGCCCCCGTGGCTGTGTGTACGTCGGTAACAGTTGTACAAAATAAATTCTATTTATCGCTATTGTACCCCGAGTGAGGGCTGGCTTTGTGTGTGACAGGTGCCCAGTGGTGCCCGGGGGTGGGGCCAGGCCTGTGCCCAGCAGAGCTGCTGGGTCTGGGGTCACCTCCAAGGCCACCCAGCAAGACCTGTGCCATCTTCCCCAGGGTGGTCCCTTCCCTCCGCCCTGTTCCCCTTCCCCACACAGGGATGAACACGTCCCCACACAGGTTTGAGTCCTGGCCCCATCTCTGTTATCTGAGTAGTGCTGAGAAACTTGCTTCCCTGAGCCTCAGTCTTCACCTCCGTAAAATAGGAACAGTTGTGCCTCTTCCGAGGGTTTACTATGAGGACTTAATGAGTTGCTGTGTATCAAACCCCCAGCACACAATAGGTGCTTGATTACCCATGCCTTCTCTTTCCTCTTGTTCAGGGGTTTCCAAGAGTGTCCCCTCATGTGGCCACCAGGGGGCGCCAAGGGATAGCGCCCCAGGACAGACAGGGCTGGGGGACTGGAAGGTGGGGATGAATCGGCCAAGGTCCCTGCCCTGAGATGCTCACAGTGTGGACAGTGGAATATGGGGGGAGGGGTCGGGGATGGCCGGGTGTGCCAATGAGCAGGGGCCTGGGGGAGAGCAGTGCAGGGAGCCATCCTAGGGACTGTCTTAGGGAAGTGTTCCTGGGAGAGGGAACCATGTGTGCAAAGGTGTGGAGGGCATAGTCCGCCTGGGGGTGGGAAGGAAGTGACCGGTTCTGAATGGGGGGATGGTGCCGGTGCAGGGGCCTGGGACGTGGGCGGGGCTAGGGCTCACTGCACAGGGCAGCGGGGGTGCTGGTGGAGAGTGGGCAGGACCAGCAGAGTGAGGAGGGGATGCAGGGAGCTGTCGCTGGAAGGCCTGAGCAGCTGGACAGGGGACCCTCCGATGGGATCTGGAGCAGAGGAACGAACTGGGGAGACCCGCAGGGGTCCAGCCTGGGTGCTGGGCAATGGGGGGTCCTCTGGGGTGGGAAGGTAGTTTGGGGAACAATGGGTCTCCTCACATTTGGGGGTGTGTTGGGGAACAACGGGCTTGGGGTGAGCACCACACAGGGCCCTGGGATCAGCCATGCGCTGGCCTCCCTGCCAGTGCCCACCGCATCCCAGGACCATGCTGGGCTGTCCTGACAGGCCCTGGCGACCCTCCGATGGCTCAGGCCAGCCAGGGCTGAGTCACACCCAAGCCAGCCCGCCCACCTGGGTTTGGCCTTAAGCAGCCCCGGGCTCAGCGGGGCCCCTGCCAGCCCACCCCACTGCCCCAGTTGGCCTCCGCTGACCCTGGGGTCCCAGCACTGCAGCTCTCGCTGCCTCAGCATCTGCCCCATCGCACCCTCCCTGGGCGGCCACACGCAGCACCAAGGTTAAGGGCTCTCTGAGTTGTCCAGAGTGGACAGAGAGGAGGCCCATCAGCTCTATCAGAAAAACTTCAGAGGGCGAAGGCTCAGCCAAGGGCGTGGCGGCCGCCACGGCGGGGCCAGCACACATACCACATGGGAGACCATGGGAACAGATGCTATGGTGTCCTCCACCCGGAACAGAGCTCAGCCCCTCGACCTCCCACGTGTGTGCCCACCCCCCACGGCTCTGTCCTGAGCCAAGACAGTCAGCCAGGGGCTATCGTGGCCGAGCAGGTGGGCAGCTTGGCCAGCAGGATCTGCCCGGCTCCTTCCTGGTCTACACTGTGCCAGGCCCCCTCTGGGGGAAGGAAAGGCCTCAGGGTGGGAGTTCAGGCCAGCCCCCAGCCCTCTGGGCTCCAAGGTGGGGCCGGGGGAGGCTGAGACGAATCTGGCCTCCAGGATCAAAGTGTCCAGCACTGTTGCCCTTGTGCCCGCGCCAGCTCTGGGCTCACCCTGGGTTCCGGGTGGGGAGGGCGGGCCAGGACACTGACCCAAGGGGGGAATTAGGGCTTGGGTGGGGGGTGCCAGGTTCCGGGAAGCACTGACTGCCTAGAAATAGCTGTGAGCGTTGACGCAGCAGCCAGAGGTTGCCCCAGACTCCGCTCTGACACCCCCGGCCGCTGCCTCTGCTGGGACCCACCTTTCTCGCCCAGCCTCAGTTTCGCCACCTGTGCGACATCAGGGCCCCTCCCTACCACCGTGGAAAGGCCATCTTGGTCTGCAGGCTCCTTGCGGAGCGCCCGGTAGGGGACCCAGACACGGTAAGAGGGGTCCTCCCACACACACCAGCTGGGGTGTCCCTGGACATCTGTGGCCAACCCTGGGACAACCTTGCCAAAGAGGCAGCCACAGGCCCAGGCCGGCCCAGTGCCAGGGGACTGGGTCCTGGCCACCCTCCGCTGCCCAGGCCACAGGGGGTGCTCCGCCAGGGACCCTGGAATGTGTAGGTCCCTCCCTCCCTCCCTTGTCCGTCCTGCCAAGGGGACAGCCCAGGACGGAGCATCTGAAATAGCCAGATCTGGTTAGCTAGGCTAATTTTAAAAGCCACTCTGGCTGCCCCTTGGGCCCTTCTGGGAAGCCATGAATGTCCCTGTGTGTGCCCCTGGGAGGCAGGACCGGGGGACAGTGGCAGGGGTGGGGGCCGGGCTCTGAATGCAGCCTGCTGGTGCTGGAGACCCCAAACTGCCTCCCGGGCCCTGCCAGTCTAGGGCCCAGAGTTGGGGCTCAGGGGCCCAGCTCCTGTCTCTCTGTCCCCGTCTCCAAGCCCCTGCATCGTCTCCTCTGCCTGCTCTCCCCAGGCAGATCTGGGCAGGGGGCCTTCCCTCTGCGGCTCTGTGCTGTCCTCTCCCCTCTGTCCCTCTCTGCCCTGCCTCAGTGTCCCTTTAGTGCTGTGTCCCTGCCTCTCTGCAGGAGGCCGCGTCCAGCATTCCTGACAGCACATAGCCTGGGCCGCGCACCCCAGGTGGGGGGAGAGGTGACGTCCACTTGGGAGCCAGGGTTGCAGGTGGGGCTCCTGGGGCGGTGCAGGCGTCCTGGGAACTGACAGGAGCTGTAGCTGCAGGCAGGGCCAGGTCCAGGCACGACCTCGGCCATCTGGCCAGGCCAGGTGCCAGTGGGAGGAAGGAGCTTCAGCCGTGGCGTTGCCAGACTTAGCAAACAGAAACACACGGTGCCCAGTTAAATTTGAATGTCACATAAACAAGGGATAATTTTTAGTTTAAGTATACCTCGTGCAATATTTGGGACATACTTATACAGAAAAATGATTCCTTGTTTATCTGAAATTCAATTTTAACTGGGTGTCCGGTATTTTACTTGGCACCCCAATCCAGTGAGGCTCCGGCAGGGGGAGGGAGAGGTTTCTCAGGTACAGCAGGAGTTTCATATGCCAGTCTGATGGAGGAGGCATAGCTCCTGCCTTCAGGGAGCTCTCAGTTTCCTGGGGTGGGGGCCCTGAGACCTTCTCAGTGGAACCATGGCCTTTGAAAGGGAGGGAGGGGTGTGTAGGATCTGCTGGGCCCAGTACCTGGCACACAATAGGCGCTTCATAGTGTTTGTTGAATGAATGAAGGACTCCCCCAGCCCATGGCCAGGGGGAGCTGCATGGCCAGCAGGGGGCCCCAGCTCCCTACCTCCCAAGCTCCCTGGAGCCAAGGAGAATGGCACCGCCACCACCCCCTGCGTACCCCAAAGTGAGCCTCAGAGGAACAAGGGGGCCGTGGAGTAGGGACAGGGGGCGCCATCCCTTCCCAGGCCTCAGTGCCATGCCAGTGTCCCGCTTGGGTAAGGGTGCAGGTGCCGGGTGGGGACCAGAGCAGGGCTCTCTCTGACTACTGGCCTCCAGCGCTGCAGAGATAAGGGGGACTGGGGGGGGGGACCAAAGAGGCACTGCTCAGTGCTCCCCGCGAGAATGTGGACAAACCTGGGGGATTTCTGGGACCCAGAAAGCTGGGGATCCTTATTTCTAGGGGTGAGATTTGGGCCTGTGGCTCATCAATCTCAAGGGTCCTCCTGGAGGCAGAAGACCACTAGGGACCGGCCTACTGCTGCCTCCTACCCCTACTCCCCACCCTCCCCCAAGGCAGGGGCCCTTAGTTAACCGTGCCTCTCATTCCTCACTGTCTGGCTGTCACCACCCACTGAGATGTCCCACTGGGACCCTGTGTCAATCCCACCTGTTCCAAGGCCAGCATTGGCTTCAGGGGTGACCTGGGGCGAATCTGTGGTCCACAGCCTTGGCTTCCCCAGCCCTACAATGGGGTCGCACTAGCCGCTCATCCATAGGCTCCTGCAGGATGTGTGGATGGTGTCGGCCCCCAGGGAGTGGCTTGGGGGAGGGAGCTGCTGCTGTTGCTATGATGATGAGGAGGAAGAGGAGGAGGATGAGTTCAGGGCCCTGGTTGGGGGGGCAGGAAGCAGCGGGCTGCCTCCATGGTCTGTGCCCCGCTGATGCCATTCTGGGAAGGCCACACTCACCTCAGCCATCTCAGCCCCACCCCTCCTTTTCCAGGACCCTTGGCTGCTTGGGGGGTGGGGGGCTGCGGGCTTTAGGTGCTGCAGGAAACCCTTCAGAGATGAG